AACCCTAAACCCTAAACCCTCGGGCCACCGCCACAAGCCCTGAAACCCTAAAGTTTAGACCCGGCCTCCGTGTGGAAGGCGCCCGAAGACGCCGCACTCCGGAGGCGCTCCACGAGCCTCCAAAACAAGCATAGGATATTATAATATGTTATAGTATATGATAGCATTTTAGTATAGTATAGTATAGTATGTTATAGTATATTATAGTATGTTATAGTATATTGTCGTATATTATAGTATGTTGTAGTATATTATAGTATGTTGTAGTATATTATAGTACGTTATAGTATATTATAGTATATTATAGGCTCCTTTAAGACTTCTATGTTGCTCGTATGAGGGCTTCTTTGAGGCTCGGTACAAAAGGGGAGGCTTGTAAAGTGAAGCCCACACTCCAATAACGCAGAAAGAACGACTCTTCCAAATCCTCCCTGATGCCTGGATTATGGTGTGTATCTCCAACAACGAAAGAGAAGACTCGCGATAGTAATTTCTGTTAGTCAACGAGAAAGACTACAATTCTCATACTAACGGACGCTTCCAGGGATGTTGGAGTCTCTGGGGACCTTACTTCCCAATACTCGGACGATGCAGCCCAAAGGGCTGGCGATAGTCCGACGCACGCGCGTAGTGCACCTGGAAGCTCGGCGAGAACTTGCCTCAAAGCGGCAAAGTGCAAGCAGGGTTTCTAGCTTTGGAGCTCGGGGCTTAGGACTTGCTCGTTGGTTCGCGCAAAGGTTCTATTCTATTCAATATTCTGCTGGTATGACGACATGACCCAGGACTGAGTCAGTGCTTTGAATTGGCTGGCTCCACGCGCTGCCTTTCCATGCGGCGAGGTGGAGCGGCGCCTGACCGACGAAGTCGTCCTGCGAGTCCTTCTTGGCGCCCGCCTTCAGAGGCAGCTCCATCTGCGGCAAAGTGGAGCGGCGTCTGACTGCATTTGTCTTGCGAGTCCTTCTTGGCGCCCGCCTTCAGAAGCAGCTCCACGTAGTCGGCGCGGCCTTCGCATGCGGCGATGACTGTCTGGCCCCTGGCTGCGGCGCGGTGGAGCGGCGTGCCACCAACATCGCTCTTTGCGTTCTCGTCGGCGCCAGCGCTGAGCAGCGCGGCCACGTAGTGCGCCCAGCCCTGCGTGGCGACCTGGAAAGAACACCTCCTCGCGTCGGCCGCAGCTCACCGCAAAGGCGGCACAGGTGACCGGCGCACCGAGCTCTACCTGGTGGACCCGGTGTCAGACCGGATCCACGAGGTAGAGCTCGGTGCGCCAGATGAACTCTGTCAAGATGAAGACCGCAGCGACCGTGCCAGAGACCAGCATTGCTGGGGGATGCTGCTTGTGAGGTTCACAAGCAGCATCCCCGAGTACTGCTGGAATACCACCATGGCAATGACTGCCAGTTTTGCCTGCGGCAAGTCGTCGCCCACAGCAGTCCACAAGCGTGGCGGGTCCTGTTGAAGAAGGGCAAGGGCTTGGTCGTGCCCAAGCTAGTGGCACAAGCTGGGGCACTTCTCCAACACGAGCCGCATGGGAGGAAGTGCGAAAACTTCAAGGAGGGAGGCCGCCTTCTGCACCAACCATTCCCACGTCGTCTCCTCCGGCGCTCCTGCTTTCCCGTCGCCGCCTTGCTCACCCAAAGGCGGGGAACCAACGCCGGCCAAAACTCCACTGCCAGGTCCTTCCTGGTCGTTTCGAACCAGAACAACGTCGGCGCCGGCAGGAAGATGGTGAGGAGCACAGCATTTCCAATCCAAAAGCCTGCTGTGTTCACGGCATTGGACCTTGAGTGCCGATCTTGCCATGTGCCCACCATCACAACCTTTCCATCATCCTGAGGAACCAACCAACAGTGGTGATCGCCATGTCGTGGTTGTTTCATGGCCATGAAGGCTGGATTCCGAACAACACCTGCTGTGAGGCATGCGCAAGCTGCTCTCAACGTGCGAGAAGACACACAAGAGTCTGTCCGTGCGTGAGTGTGTGTGCGGAAAGGCCTACCGGAAGTATAATGATGCAACGTCTTTGGGTTCGAGCCGTCAGGTTTCGCAAACTCGTGTAGCAACTAGAGATGCAGGACGAATCACATGGCTGGCCAGCCCTTGCCGAAGGGAATTGTCAGGCAGATGATCGTTTTCAGAAAGAGTCGGGGACGAGCATGTCTCAGCTTTCCAATCAGCTCCTGTGGGCACTTTTCTTATTCGAAGTCTCTGGTTGACCGGATTGCTTTGTTGGAAAGCACCAGGAAGACGGATGATAAATACGGATGGTTGGGTGCCATGCAGCATCATGGGACACTTGTGAAGTTTGTGGGGGCGAACAGTCTGAACCCCTTGCCAGTGCATCAAAGGAACTCTTCAAAATGGTGAAAGGCGTCACGATCCGCGTCTCTGCTCCCCCGGTCTTAGTCGCAACCTGTCGGATAGGCCGGAGGGGTTACTACTATTACTGCTATTACTGTTACTATTATTACTATTATTACTATTATTACTATTATTACTATTATTACTATTATTACTATTATTACTATTATTACTATTATTACTATTATTGAGTAAACCTTTTCGCTTCGCTTCTGCTGCTTGAATGTCCACACAGGGTTCCGCTCTTACAAGGCGGCCTGAATGAACTGATCGCACTCGATGTTGAAGCAGCTCCCATCGGCGGGGTTCTCGATGCTTCGCACGTATCCTTCGCAAGCATGGCTTTCATCCAAGTCCTGCTCTGTAACAGTCAGGACTTGCCAAGGCACAAGGCAGCAATCTTCCACACTGAATCCTGAAGCGGACAACCCCCACAAACTTTCTGCTGCGCAGCTGCGATAAGGAAACTTCAAGATGGAAGCTCCAACATCATCAGGCTGGAAAATCAAAGACCTGAGATGCGGGGGTTTCCGACAATAGGGGACCCCAATATGGTACCCTAAATAGTAGGATCCTTATTATAAGGGCCCGAAGATAAGGTACCCTAATTTTGGGAAACTCCTATGCAGAGGAGCAGACTCCGCGATTCTCCGAGGAGCTCAGGAAAGGTTCACCACAGAGACAGCCGGACTTAAAGCCGGGAAGCTATCCACATAAGCCTGACCGCTGAAACTCCAAAGCCAAGACGATCCAAGATGTAGACCCACTTACTACTACTATTACTTTATTATTAATATCATCATTGTTGCTGTTGTTATTAAGTTATTGTTCTTGATACTTCTTGTTGTTGTTATTGTACCATCATTATCAGTAGAACGTTTTTACTATATTATCATTATCGTTCTTCTTATTGCTATTCTTATTGTTGTTCTTAATTTATGGTTACTACCATTATCAATATTACTATCATTTTTATTGTTGTTAGTAGTAGTAGTAGTAGTAGTAGTAGTAGTAGTAGTAGTAATAGTAGTTGTTGTTGTTGTTGTTGTAGTTGTAGTAGTAGTAGTAGTCGTCGTCGTCGTCGTCGTAGTAGTATTATTGGTGGTATTGCTATTACGACTTCTCATGTAATTCTCCGTGTCAGTTCCAAGTCGCTTCGAGCAGATGCGAAGGCGCCCTTTGCTCTCTGCCACCTTCAATTCCCAGAGAACCCAATACCCCTTAAAGGAGGAATATACCTTAAATTATAGGGGCCTTAATATTATGATTGAAGGTATATTCCTGATTAATTAAGGGGCATTGGGCTCTCTGGGTTATAAAGGCCCCTACAGGGGTTTAGGGTTTAATATAGGGGCCTTAATAATTAGAATAGGGTTTTGGGGTCCTGTACAGTTTGATTGTAGTATGGAACCCCCAAAATAGTATAGGTAATTACTGAGGCCCCTATATTAGGGTCTATTGACCCACTTACAACTAAGACATGATGGGGCCCCCCCCTGCACTAAAGCTTTGACACTCTTGGGATTTAATCGCCTGAATCAGCGATCGACCCCCGAGACACGTGGCAAGTGCGGGTGGGTTGCCGTTTGAGCCTGGGGGGTGGTGAAGAGTGTGCGGAGGTCAGTACGCAGCTTTAGCCGAGGTGCTAGAACTGAAGAACCTTCCGACACTGTTATCACTATGCTTGAAGTGTTATGATCATATTTGTCTTCATCTTTCTTGCCAGTGTTCTTCGCTTGCATGAGCTCGGAGGCCACACCTGGCCTGGCCACGGCGGGTCAGAGCCATGGTCGAAGATACGTCGGCGATATAGTCCTCGCCTGTTCCGCGGAGGGTTCAGGATTTAGGGATAAGGGCTCATGGCTTGGGGCTTGGGGCTTAGGGTTAGGGGTTTAGGGCTTTGGGGTTTCGGGTGTAGGGCTTAGCATTCCCTCTGAACTGAGGTTGCATGGGTCTGTTGCGACAAAGCCCGGGTCCAGCCAAAGCAGAGTTGGCCTTCTTCCATGATCAGCAAGTTGAACCGTCTTTCCACCTCAGAAATCCCGCGCAAATGCAGCATGCAGGGCCGGCACGAAACGGGTGTTCAGACAGCTCAAACATCGGAAAGCTGTACACCTACATAGTGGCCCGGATCGGGATCGAAGAGTCTGTCAGCCAAGCCACGCGGAATGACATTTCGGAAACCCAGCACGTGCCCACCGAAGTGAAGCAAGAGGGGCGCACAGCAAGTCTCCTACTGCCCTTCTCCGTAGGTTGTCTCAGTAGCTTGCAGAGTTTGTGGAGCTGGTTCGATCGGCTCGGGTTTTGAGCGCCGGGAGCTTGAGAGTTTGGGCTGCGGAGAGAGCACCCGAAGCTCTAGACCCTACACCGTAAACCCTAAACCGGGCTCCGCTCTTGGAATGTGTGGCCCTAGTACTCTGGGAGTGCTGTGTGGTGCCATGCGAGCAGATGGAACCACCGAGCTCTGCTCGGTTCTGGCTAGTAGTACTGTTATTATCACTACTGCTGCTACTATTACTACTATCATCGCTCTTTGTACCGTTTTACGATTTGTGCTATTTGTACCATTACCATTATTACTATATTGCCAGTATTACTCTTGTTACTATTAGCAATTACCATTATTAGAACAGGTTGGTTTACACTATATACATTCCTAAGCACTCTTAAGCACCCGCAGCTGTGAACTGACTTGGTGGCTTGAGCCAAGTACCGCAAGGCACGAAGGATTCTGAGACACCGTGCATGTACCCCAAACCCGAAACCCAAAACTCCTGTGGACGCTTGGCTGTCGCATACCTGTTCCTGTTGTCACTGCTGCAAGTATCAGCTAACCGACCGGGCTTTGGCAACTGCGAGCAGCCACCCGTGAACTTCAGGGCTCCGGATCTTGGGGGCCGAGGGCTTTTGGGCTCAGGACTCAGTAGGTTTAGGGTTTAGGGTTTTGCTCAGGGCCCTGCGTGGCCCTTTTCCAACTGCGTAGGGGTAGAATTCCTTTTTTTAGGAGGAGCCTGTGTGTTGGGGCTTAGGGTTTAGGGGCCTTATTAGTTAGAATAGGGTTTGGGGTTTGGGGTATATTAAACTATAGTCATAACAAGGAACCCCCGAAACCCTACTAAAATTACCCTACATTGGGTTGAGGGTTCAGTGTCACCCGAGGCACACGCTCCACGACCCCAGCCTTACTCGTGCGGATGGAGCTGCGAGAGGTGGAGTTGCGAGAGACCTGCATCGTTCTCTGCTGCCACGGCTTAGCCCAAAACCCCCCAAGCCCCTTACTTGGAGGTTCATGGGTAGTTATAAGTGGAGCCAGGTCTGGCATTTCTGTAAATGCATGTGTGCGAGTATAAATATGCTTTTTTTGTGTAACTGTATATGTATGAGTATGTGTATATGCATGTATATGTGTGTACATACACATACATATGCGACGTAAGTAAATAAACATGCGTTATATACGCATACAGAGGTATGTTATGTTTACAGATATTTACACGGAGAGAACTGCATTGCCAAAATGTCGTGAAGATAGAAAGGAGAGGACCTCCAAGCGTGTTAAGGCAAGGGCGACTGCTTTCTGGGACCATTCTGGCGTGCTCGTGCCGTCATGAAGCCAACGACCTAGTGCCAAGGTCTCCTCATCATCTTTTCAGTCTTGGCGCGCCGCAACTGCTTAACTGTTGCAGCGAGAGGTCAAGCTCAGGTGAAGATGAAGGTCATTAGGGCGAACAGTTGCAGTCGATTGTCGGATAAATCGAAGGGGTCCCTTCTTGGCAAGCACCTGGCTCCGCCATCTTGCCGACTCATGATTGGCTGTAGCCAGGTGAGGTGCGGCAGAGGTCAAGCTCGGCTGGCAACCGTATTTCCCCAGTCGCTTTGCATGTAGATCCCGGCCCTTGCATGCTATACGGCCCTTCTGAATGTCACAGATAGGGACCACTGTATGACAACTGTATTCCTACTTCAGCTACACTGCTTACTCATTTTTGTGACAAAGAAGTTCCAGGAAGAAACAAGAAGAGAAAGCAAGACGGAACAATACTGCAAAATGCTTGCATTGTGCATGCCTGCTGCCTGCCTGCCTACATATTACTACATCTGTACATTCATCGATACATGTAAGTGCACATGAATACATGTACATCAGACGTTGGCTTTCCGGCATGTATGTGCATGCATGGTTGCAGCCGTAGGTACACACATGCAGCACATGTACGCATGTCTGTATGTTTGCATGTCGGTCTCTGTCTCTTTATGTCTCTGCATGCGTGTGCGTATGTATGTATATATGTATGCATGTATGTAGGAAGTTATGCGCGTGTTCGTATATTCATAAACCATGCGCATGTAACCTATTATGTGTCTGTGTGTTTGTGCATGTGTATGCCTGTGTGAGAGTCTGCACCAACAACACCCAACTATGCGCACACGTCTAAATAAATATAAATTACGAATACCTGTCATGACATACACATGTATTTGTAGAGAGAGAAGGAGCGGCAAAGACATGTGCGTGCGTGTGTGT